TTATTATTTGAATTTGAAATTTAAAATCCAATTTTAAATTCCAACTATTAATTAGTAATTCCATTAAGTGCTAAATTAATATCCAAAATTCAATTAATCAATCTAAGTGATTAATTTAATATATTCCTTTAATTGATATCTAATCAAATTAGATTTGTCAATTAATTCTAACTCTTTAGAAATACTATTTGAATTTTACCTTCATTCAAAAATTGGTGTGACCTTTTAAGTTCACAATTAATACTAGTAGTGGGTTTACAACTATTTGTAATTTGAGTTAATCTTATTAACTCTTATTCATGAATTAACTCCTTATTCAAAAACCCACATATCATGGGAACATCTAGCTAGTAGCATGAATCTAGTATTAAGTGAATAGCGAGTAAACCTATTTCGATTACAAGTCCATACATGTAAAATCCTTTTGACATCCAATTTTCCGATTAAATCTTTGGGTATGATTTTGTCGAAACCCAAATTGATTTAATAATTATGATTTTATTTCAAGTTTTAGTAATTTGTTTATGAATCTCTATTCATCCCGCCTTGGCCAAGGACTTTGAATTACTAACTATGAAACACATAGGAAATTCACTTATCTTCATAAGTGTCGAATCCTTTGTTGGTCACTGACAAACTTCCATACATATTAATATAATACCCAAAATATCCCTTTATACGATTGTGCTAGCAATCAAAAGGATAAATCAAAGTAAAATATAATATGCACAAAGTTACCATCATGCTTCAAGTCTAAGGATTAATCATTTATTATTGTAACATGAAAATTCTTATTCGACATGATAAACTTTCATTAAGAATTTTCATACGGTCATGTTCAGTGAACTTGTTCTCTAACAAGCACCCACATATATGTATTTGCGTCCCACGCTAATGTTGATGGAATGCAACATTCTTATCTAATAAGCATACATACTATGTGCAAGTCTTTTCTGAATTTATTCGATATACCATCTCGAAACATCCAACGACTTGGAACTGTATTTAAGATCACAACTTTCAATATATGTTCCATGATCACCATCTCTATGCGCAACCATATCTTATACACTACAAGAAATGTCAATTTTAACTAGACAAAAATTTCTAGCTAAATCCAAAAATTTTTAGCTAAATCCGTCTACCTATAAAATAGCTAGACAAAAATTTACCAGCAAGCACTTTACCTACAAAGATCTAGGTAAATGTCTAGTTAAAATTGACAATTCTTGTAGTGATAGCTATAAGTGATCTAGAAACTTTATCTTGAGTGCAAATATATGATAAATGCTTACTCTTAAAATAAAGTAATGTCTTATTATTTAATATAATTCCATTAGATTGTATTTACAAGTAGAATACATCCAATCCAATTGGAATGCCGGGTATACTACTCTAACACAGATACGGCCTAGCACAAGAGCCTTCGAGGAGAATGCGAAAGGATCCTTATCCCATGTGCAGAGGAAACGTGGCACAACCCGATTAGTCCCCACTGGATAACCGTTTCTGACACATGCGTATTGGACGTTACGGACAGGCAGGACGGGCAGCTTTTGGGGCTGACAGCTCAACAAATCCGAGCAACTCCTAGGGTAGGTATTTCACCTTATATAGGATGAACTTTACTTCTTGAGAACGATTTTATTCATTTTTACTCTTGAAAATTAAGTAGGACATATACTGACCTAAGCATCGGAGGCTCTTCACCGGAAAATTCTTCCAGTGTGAGAGTTATTTTCAGGTACGCGGTGTTCTACTGGCGAGGAGGAACGAGACGAGCCGATTTCCAGCCGGTCGGAGTGTTTGACGTTACCAGGTGTCTTGCTTTTTGATACGCATATTTGTTTTATTTCGATCTTTCAATATTTTGTATCACTAAAACACACAATAGTTACATTGTAACTCCCGATTAAACCGCCTTAAACATATTTAATGTAACTGCTGATGATCCCCCGTAAACAAATAATAATAATAATAATAATAATAATAATAATAATAATAATAATAATAATAATAATATATTTTTTTGTTTAATTACCATCCATCAAAATATAAAATTACATTATTCTTTATATGCAATTAATATAGTGGTGATATGTAGTTAAATAATTATATTGTTCATTGTACTAATCATCAACTTAATGGAACGTCACATGATCATTATTCAATTTATAATTTTTATATTATATAGACATATAACTTTGTAATATTTATTATGCATTTGTGCTAGAAAGGAATTAAATATTTTACTTCACCAGGTGACTGCCCAAGGAAAAAAAACAAAAAAAAAAAAAGGAATTGAACATAAGAAAAATTAGCATAAAAGGTTAGGACTTAGACCATCTCCAACCGAAAAACTCATTCCCAAACTCATTTTGCAATAACTTACACATCAAACAGTAATTCTCCTCCAACCGATAAACTCATTCTCAAACTCAAAAGAATATTCTCATAATATTCTCTCACATCAACTTTTACATATTTTCATTACCACCACACATATTTAACAAATTTATAAATTAAACACATTATTATTTTATATCCAGTTTTAAGAAATAAGTCAATTTTAAAAATATAAAATAATTTATTACATACTGATAATTTGTACACCCGTAAAATATTGAAATACATATTTGTATTTTTTTGGCAAAAAAAAAAAATACATATTTGTATAATAAGCCAAAATTAATTTTTATAATTTAACTTTAAACAATATTTAATAGGATTGTATGAATTTATTTCCAATCTCTTAATAGAATGTTGATAAATTATTTGTATAAATTTTGAAGAAAACTTTTACCCATATTTCTACCATGGTTGAATTGAATTTATCATTTGGTATGCATAATATAAATCTTGTTTTTATGATATTTCATAATTTTAGTGCTATTTAGTTATTGTTACTTAAATATATGTATATATATATTAATAAAATATGTATAAAGGAAAAATATAATAATAATAATTGTTCTCAAAAGTATCTTAATTTTTTATATTATTAATAGATACATAATAAATGATATATAATAATAGTTGGTTTAATAATTATCTTAACTTCTGGGAAAATACACCAAATAATAAATCTGAGTAATATAAAATACTATTCATACATGTGCACTGGGCCATTTTGAAATTTTTAAAAGTTATGCGTTTTCCAACAGTAAAACGCATTTTTGCGTTTCTAGGCTAGGAAAAATGGGATTATCGCAAATTGCGTTTGAGTTTGGTGTCGGGTGGAGCAATTTTGTGGGTTTGCATTTTCGTATTGAGATCGGTTGGAGAAGGTCTTAGGAGGAAGAACGCGACCGACGGAATACGCAATCATCATAATATCTGGGGCATTTGTGTAATATTCCTCAAATACTTGAGAACCAGTATCATCATCATCAGCAACTTTGGCGCCACCCCAACCGTTTCAAAATTTGAAAATCTTTGTTAACCAAAACCGCTCTCCCTATCTAAAAACTTCTTTCTTCATCCACTTTATCCGTTCCTCATCTCCCCTAACAACAACAACAACAAAGATCCTAAATAACTCTCCAAATCACCAAAAAAAAAAAATATACAAAAAATGGAGAAATCTTCAGAAGGAATCGGCATCAATATCTACACCGCCTCCCCTCAACTCGACCCGCCGCCGCAGCCAGAGGCCCCTCCCTCCGCCGGCCGGAAACGCCGCGCGGTGGCGAGCGGCGTCCAGAAGACCCTATCAAAGACCTCCCTTCTGGCCAACTTCCTCCCGACGGGGACCCTCCTCACCTTCGAGATGGTCCTGCCCTCCATCTACTCCGGCGGCGGCGGCTGCTCTCCGGTGAGGACCCACATGATCTACTCCCTCCTCGGCCTCTGCTCCCTCTCCTGCTTCTTCTTCCACTTCACCGACTCCTTTCGAGGGCCCGACGGCAGGCTTTACTACGGGCTGGTCACCCCGGCCGGGCTGGCCGTCTTCAAGCCGGGCCTTGGTGTGGAGGTGCCTCGGGATGAGAGGTACCGGGCCGGGCTGGGTGACCTGGTCCACGCCCTCATGTCGGCCCTCGTGTTCCTTGCTATTGCCCTGTCGGACCACCGGGTGACAGGTTGCGTGCTGCCGGGCCACGCGAAAGAGATGGACGAGGCCATGCAGAGCTTCCCACTCATGGTCGGGATAGTCTGCAGCGGACTCTTTCTCGTCTTTCCCACTACCCGGTATGGGATTGGCTGCGTGTCCCCATGATTCGGGCCGGGCCGTCAATCTAATCTTATTGTTACGACTTTGCTTATTTATTTAATTTAATGCTTGTGTGTGTGTGTGTGAAAATGCAAACATAATGTGAGATGTGCATATGTGTGTGTCTCGTTTAGTTTCTCTTATTAGTTTTGTGGAGTATATTAATTGGGTATATGGTGTGAATTGTGAAGGTTATAATGTTTGTTGTATTATTACTATATTCGAACTTTCTAGTGTCATGTGAATTGTGAGATGTCAAACGTTGTATTGTGACAGACGGTATAAACACTGGGTTTCATTCGATTTCAATTGGTCACCCCTTTTACAACATCTCCAGCTCCACTCTTATTCAAATTTTATCTCCACTTTTTCAAGTTAATTTACTCTACAATATATAATTTTTTATTCATTACTATTTCAAATAAACCGTCATATAAATGTATATTTAATCTTATATAAATTGTTGTTCCTCAAATATATAGCAAAAGTATTTTTATATATAACATCACAAACTGCTTCATAAATTCAAACAACAGGAACACAAATTGCATAATAATATAAAAAAAAAAAGATAAAAGTATCATTCGAAAAATGATTATCATAACATTACATCTAATTTTTTAGATCAGAAAATTTCTCTCATAAATGATCAATCAATGCATTACAAAGAGCGATATAATTTCTTTATCTTGAATTGGCTTGTATCGAGCAACAAATGCATGGAACTGAAAAACTTCATCACTCATCGTTTCAACATCGGGGATCGAGGCTCTATCACAGTTTCGATCGGTGCATCAAGATTTTGTTCATTCTCAATTATCATATTATTCAAAATAATACATGCAATCATTATATCTTGTAAGTCATTTGTATTCCAAAATTGGACATATTAGCTACAATAGCAAATAATTTTGGAGTACTCCAAATACACTCTCAACACTCTTTCTGTATATTTCTTGTTTCATGGAAATTTTTTTTTAGGACCATGTCGGTCAGGAATGGTTTGGACAAAAGTTGACCATTTAGATATCTGCTAAGTAATACCCCATGTTATACTTTTTTCCTTGGATGGCATAATGTACTGGAGGGGCAATTCCTCGAGCAAGATCAGAAAATAAATGAGACCTCTCTACCACATCAATATCATTGTTGGATCAAGGCATACCAAAATATGCATGACATATCCAAAAATCATAATCGGCTATAATTATTAGAATAATATTATTTGGAGATTTATGTATAAGCACTTGTCCAAGTCGTTGGAAAATTTTTCAGTATACCCTAACGCCTAGTAGATTGTCTTACAAACAGCTTTATGGTCAAAGCGGTTGATGGCCATGTAAAGGGAGGGGGAGTCAGATGGATGGCCATAAATGACAACAATTTCTTTAGTATTAGTGGGAGTTGAAATAAGTATACTCGAAAAAGCGAAATCTTTGAGTATAAGTGAGAGATTGTTGGCTTGTATATTCAAAGCTTGCTTTAGTTTAAACCAATTCACAATTTGAATGATAATCAAAATTAGTCAAAAGTATTTGCATATTATTTATGATAAATAGTTAGAAAATTCTTCTGTCATTTTATATTGTAGATAATATGGTTCATCATGTTGAACAGAAGATCATATAATCAGTTTCTTTTAAATATAAAGTATAGTTCACAATTCACAATCTAGATAGAAATGAACTAACTGTCGTGAACGGTGGTAGTGAAACTTTGGAATTAGTTGGTGTCGACTAACGAATTATACTAGTACAGTTATAATTTACTGAATGGACCACGTATGATAAGATTATTTATACTAACTAAGTAAATAAAGTATACCGTAGTTATTGCTCGTAGCCTCGTACTTTTGATCCGTAAGATAATATATGGGCATATGTATTTAATATTATATTTTAAAAAACCAAAAAATAAGATACATTTATTGGTTGAACAGACCTAGTGATTGGGTAATTAGATTATTTATATGATGCGTCATTAAAACTATTTACCAACATTGTGTCCCGGGATGTCGTGTTGAAGACGTCCTTGAAATGAGCTCATGACATTTATTCTGCTAAACCCTCCAGGTGAATTAAATTCCAGCATAATGAAAAGATTGATAGGTATTAATTTTAAAAACAAGAATTTAATTAATTAAATTGTCAATAGTTAAATAATTTAACATACGTTAAATTGTAAATATGGTTTTTTTTTTAACAAACATCAAATTATCATAAACGAAAACTCAAGAAGGTACATCCGATGAACCAACGGGTTACAATCCACAACTCCCCACAGGTAGGGAGAATGGTAAAGAGAGTAAAAACAAAAATACTCCCCAACAAGACCAACACTGGCCACAAGGAACAAAGCAAAAAGGCAAAACAACAAAGAAAAACTAACTAGCAAACAACACAAGAAAAAGACCAAGAAGCAACCGAGGAGAGCAAGTAATAAATTTCTGCGACCACCATAGATAAGCTTGCTTCAAAGGGATCACGAGAGTTAAGTCTTGAGCTAAGCTCCTTGTTGAAAGTTTGGATCCACACTTTGTGCCAATGATGATCTGCTCCATGGTAAAGCCAGTCTCTAATCTGGAGAAGCTCAGTTTCCATTGTACAAGGAACACTGCACCTAGCCAACTGCCACTCCTCCACAATCACATTGTTCACCCAAGCCAGCCCCTAAATCTTAAGGCATCACCAGAAGAAGCATTAGCACTGAGTCTCTTAACCAAGACCCCTACTCCTTGCCCCTGCTGGTTATCCACAGAAGAAGGAAGAACATAAATTGCACCTTCAAATTCCTGCCATTCTCCATAGCTCCCTCAACTACTTGCTTCTCAGAAGACCATTCCTTGTTGAACAACCACCCATTTCTTGTCCTCCATAGACACCACAATATATAGAAAGACAAAGTAAGCCTATCCCTGCCAGCACCTTCTACCTTAATAGCACACACCTCCTCCCACCAGGATTTGAAATCCACTTGCTGGTCTCTGAGTTTAGACCAAGAAATACCTGAAATTTTCCACACTTTCCTAGCTCTATCACAGAAAAACATCAGATGTTCGAAATTCTCTTTTTCCTCCCCACACCAACCACACATCCCATCCACTTGCATACCCCTTCTGCCCAGATTATCAAGTGTACCCAAACAATTATGAAAACATCTCCACAGAAAGTTCTTTACCTTTGCCTTTACTGGGAGCTTCCAAGTTGTGGACCACATTTGTTTTTGTGACATCAAGCCTCTACTACACTCCCCTTTGCCCACCATGAGATTTCTCTGATTCTGGATTGCAAGATAAGCACTCTTGACAGTAAAGATGCCCTTGTTGTGAGGCTGCCAAATCAATCTGTCCTTCATCCCCAGTTTGCTAATATGAATTTTAAGGATCTGCTCAGCTTGAAGAGGATTGAATGTCTGCTTCACCAACTCAGTATCCCATTCAGACTTGCCTGCAATCATCAAGTCAACAACCTTGCACAAGTTTTGAGTATCAGATGAAAATGAGCAGGTGGGTTTGAAATTTGGAGCATTTGGTAACCAAGGGGATTTCCAAATATCAATAGAGAGACCATTTCCCACCAAGAATCTAGCACCTAACCCCAGAGAACCCCTAGCCTGAAGCCACCCTTTCCACATCCATGAGTCAGAGGGCCTTTTCTTAACTTCCCATAGAGATTGATTATGAAAGTATTTCCCTTTGATAACTTTGCTCATCAGAAAATTTGGTTTAGTAAGAACCCTCCACAATTGTTTAAGAATCAAAGCTTCATTAAAGACTTCAAAAGATCTGAATCCTAGACCACCCTCCATTCTTGATTTAGCCATCTTGTCCCAACTACACCAGTGGATTTTGTTCCCCCCAGATTCAGTGTTGCCCCACCAAAAGTTGGCAATAGTGTGACAAATGTCTTGACATATGCCTATAGGAAGTCTGAAAACAGACATGACATACACAGGAAGAGCAGATAACACAGTCTTGATTAAAATCTCTCTGCCAGCTTCACTCAGAAATTTGTTCTTCCAATTAGATAATCTAGCAATAACACACTCTTTGACAAAAGCAAACGTATCCTTTTTAGACCTACCAATCCCCAAGGGAAGGCCCAAGTACTTAGAATACTTAGCCACAGCAATACCTCTAAACAAAAGACACACATCAGATTTAACAATATCAGGAGTGTTGCTGGAAAAGAAAATGCTAGATTTGTGAATATTAACTGCCTGACCAGACACTTTACAATAGAGATTCAAGATATTCAAGAGAAGATTAGCATGATAAGAATTAGCCTGACAAAAGATTAAGGCATCATCAGCAAAAAAAAGATGGGATATAATAGGAGCTTGTTTACTGATTCTAAGACCCTGAAAATGATGCACTGAGCAAGCTTTATGAATGAGATGAGATAGGGCCTCTAAAACCAAAATAAACAGATAGGGAGAAAGAGGACATCCCTGTCTGAGACCTCTAGAAGAAGAAACATGCCCTAAAGCCTCCCCATTGAAATTAAAAGCAAAAGAAGCAGTGCTGATACAAGACCAAATCCATTTCAGAAAAATTTCACTGAAGCCCATACTTCTGCACACATTAATGAGAAAGGACCATTCTATTCTATCATAGGCTTTTTCCATGTCTAACTTGAGAGCCATAAAGCTTTTTTTGCCTTTTTTCCTACCATTAAGAAAATGAATACACTCATTGGCAATAATGCAATTATCTAGGATCTGTCTATCAGGAACAAAAGCAGCTTGGGATTGAGATATACAAGTGTAAAACCTGCTTGAGTCTATTGGCTAAGAGTTTAACAATGATTCTGTAAGTGATAGTGCAAAGACTAATGGGCCTATAATGAACAATGGTTTTGGGATTTTTGATTTTAGGAATGAGAGTGATAACAGTATGATTAGATGCTTTAGGAATGCAGTGTGAGTTCAAAAAATTAGATACAACCAGAAAGAGATCACCTTTAATGGTAGCCCAGGCAGATTGGAAGAAAGATGGAGAAAAAACC